TACCCGCGAACAAGAACTCGAGGAGGCATTACGTGATAGTATCAAGTCCAATTCCGAAATTACTAGTGAATATAAAATTATGCAAGAGGTATATTCGAATCATAGCATAAATACCAATAATATTAAATCTAGATCACAACAAAATAGGTGACATAGGAATGACTACTTTGGCAAATGCTCTGCAATCAAATTCTTCTTTGACATATCTAATACTAAGTCTAGATGGCAATATTAATATAATAGAAGAAACAGGAGTAATAGCTTTGGCAAAAGCACTGGAAGTGAATACTTCTTTAACCACTCTAAATATTTATCACAATAAATTAGACAAAGCAGGGGCAACAGCTTTGGCAAAGGCACTGGAATCAAATTCTTATTTGTTATCTTTAAATATAAAGCAAAATGAAATAGAAGATATGGGAGTTGTAGCTTTAGCAAAGGCTCTGGGATCAGATTCCTGTTTGACACATTTAGATCTTGATTGCAATAAAATAAGTGGAATAGGAACAGCAGCTTTGGCAAAGGCTCTGAAATCAAATACTTTCTTAGTATCTCTAAATTTATCTTATAATATATTATGAGATACAGGATCAAAAGCTTTGGCAAAGGCACTGGAAGTAAATAATTCTTTAACTTCCCTAAATATATATCACAATAGTATAGGAGCTATAGGGGCAACAGCTTTGGCAGAAGCTTTGGAGTTCAATTCTTGTTTGGCATCTCTAAATCTGGATAGTAATGAATTAGGAGACATAGGAGCAACAGCTTTGGCAAAGGATTTGGAATCAAATTCTTGTTTGAGACATCTAATTCTAGACCATAATGGAATAGGTGATACAGTAACAGGGGCAACGGCTCTGGCAAATGCAAATTTTTGTTTGATATCTCTTAATTTAAATAATAACAAAATAGAAGATACAGGAGCAACAGCTTTTGCAAAGGCTTTGGAATCGAATTCTTGTTTGACATCACTAAATCTTCAAGATAATCAAATAGGAGAAGCAGGAGCAACAGCTTTATCTTTAGCAAAGAGTCACAAATCAAATCCTCATTTAAATCTGTGTTTAAATAATAATAAGACAGAGCCAAGGCTATGGGATCAAGCTCTTATTTAATTTCTTTGACCTGATTTATAAAAAAGAAAAGAGCAATGTTTTTATTTTTATATTTAACATTTTTTGCTAATATTAATAATATTAAAAGTAATACTACCATTACTACCTTGAATTCAGAAAAACCTTAGACATAAAATTTCAAAATGAGTGATTCGGAATTTGTTTCTGACATTGAATTTGAAGAGGAAATTTACCAAAATGTGTTTACAGACGTCGAGGCAATGTCACGGGAGAGCGGGTAACTACTGTCTCGGTCTGATATCTAACTGCGCCGTCGTAGGAGCGTGCCTCAACTAACAGTTAGTAACCTTATTAGGCTTTTACGTGCTAACGTATCGTATACGGATCGCACACACTAATCCTGGATAATTAACTATTCTCGAGAAACGAATACTATTCGTTAGTCTATAGTCAGGGTCTTAATAAGGAAAAATAACGCGTTGAGAATGTAATAATTAATTATCGTAATGCCACTCGGACAAGTATTATGCTCGTTATATGGGTTATTCAGGAAAGAATTAATATGTCAGAGTAAATGGATACTCGTTTATTGATAAGAAAATAAAATATAAAGGAAATCGAACGTCTTCGATATAAGGGAATTTAGTATTGACGAACGCTGCGAACACACCGATGTCTGCGCTGCTTATATACTTTTCGAGCTACCAATTATTTTATTTTTAGTATCGTTACCTATTATAAATTACTAACCTACCATTAATATTACCCTCGCTGTCCGTGCTACATACTGCGGGTGGCTCTTTCACTGTGGTATGAGAAGTGTTATTATATTTACCGCATGCCGTATATATGTTAAGCTCCAATTTTGTCTTTTTCTGTCAAAGTAAAGGGTTCGACATGCGGACGGAGTTCCATGATGAGTTATCTCTCAATATTTATATGTTGCATGTGATCAGCAAGATTATAAGAATGAGCATGAAAACTCCCGACTTTTGTTGGGACAGTGGCACACATTTAAAGATATGTGCAGTACATTGATTACAACATTCTCAGGATATAGAATATTTGATCTTGTAGCGGCACTTGGGACACGTTTCTGAACGTGTTGTAGACTATCGATCAATATTAGTGGAGAATACTCAGGTAAATAAATATAAAAAATTATTTAATGAAGCAATTTCGTTAATGGTGCTGGACGACGTAAACGGGATGTAAAAATGTCCAACTTGACAAGATAAGAAAGCAGAAGAGCACTCAACGAGAACAAATCCAGACAGTTGAACAGAGTGTTGCATCAATGCCCGCGACAGAGAACAAACGACGCCGAACTACAGACGCAGAAAAGTCTATGCTCGCACATGCTGATATGCTCGAGCAAGTTTGAGAAATTATTGCCAAGTCTTTCGGGATAGGATCATAAGAGAGTCATGACATATTATAGAGCAAGCGAGATGCGAGTGATGCTAAATAGTGTAATCTGTATTATAGTATACATGTAAATAAGAATAATTTTAAATATCGATAAAACTGTTTACAAAATAGCAATAAAATACGTTTATTTGGATCAGATGTTCTACCGCACGTCTACTTGTCCCGGCCACCATAGGAAATAGATAATGGAGACTTTTTAAGAACTAACCGCAGCGAGAGCACTACGTAAAGTAAACTCCAAAGTGGAGCTACGGCCCCGCCACATATATTCGATCTTTTATGAATAGTAAATTCCCTACGAACAATCTCCCGATTGATAACCCAATGCTGCGTTTATTTGTTTCGTATTATGAATTACAAGACCTACTCTTTTTCGCTATCTGATTCGGCATTGTCATCATACAAATACTAAAAGAGAATGACACCATGTTAATAAATACTAAATTACGAACACTAAGCTCCCACCTTATACATACCAAACTCATAGTAGATACGATACTCTTGTCAATACATTGTAGTGCATCTTCCATTTTCTTCTGGAGTGTTGGACGACCAATGATCCGTGCTGCATTCTTTATTTCACGACAGGTCTCACGTAACCGAGTAATACATCGCACGATAGATCCTTCCTGTACGTCTGGGGAAATCTTCATAATCTCTACAAATTTCTATCAAAGGTTGGCATATTAATACAAAATTTAGACCTGTGTATAACATCAATACTTTTATCTAAATTTCATACCGAATTCTTCTGCGCCCATTTGTAGACAACGTTCACAAGCTTGAAATTAAGGTTTTCCAGATGTTGTTCCATACTGGGAGTCGCCAAGAGCGGCTCTAAACCAAAATCTTCTTGTACTTTGTCCATAAACTTCGCAATGCGTCTTATAATCTTCTTTCCCTAATTGAAAGCCAGAATCATAAGTAACAATTTGGCATTTGTATGCTCATTCTGAATTTGATATAAGATACATAAATACCTTTCGCAATTTAAATGTCATTAGTTCGTCATCATCATCCTCGTCATCCCCCTCGTCATCCCCCTCGTCATCATCCTTATTACCATCCACATCTCGATCTTCCTCATCATTATCCCTCCTGACGTATACCACTTTTTCGTGAGTCGTATTATGTCTACCCTTGAATTTTTCACCGTTTCGATCAATTGGCCCATCATCCTGCTTCTTCTTCTTCTCCTGAAAGATAAAGCATGACAACAAGGCAACAATCTCTTCGGCAGTAAAATCCGCAAACTTATTCTCAAAAATCAACTGAGTCACTACCAGCGGGTCAGCCGAATTTATCTTTCAATACAAAGAACCATGAGTAAAGTATTCATTTGGAAACCCGGGAAATCATACGAAATTACCTCAGTCGCAACGCGTCCTTTTTGTGTCAGAGTATCATTGCTATCAATGAACTCGAGTTCTTTAAGTATCTTTTTTCTAATATCGTATTCCTCTTGCTGTTCAAAACCAGAATTAAATATTTTCGAACGTATAAGCTCTACATCGAATTTTGCCTTGGATTCCTTGTGAAAAATTCCATACTGAACTCGTAAATAGTGTATAATGTTAAATATATTTGATTAGATCGTAGAAGTGACAATGAAATAGGTGGAGCCATCCAAACATGAGTTTATTGGATATCTTACGTGTTCATTAAACTCGGGACATTTTGTGCACTGCAACTGTGCAATGCGCTTCATAAGAGTATTCCTTTCCGCGAAAGCATATTTGAAATCAGGATCACGCAACTTTGCCCAATCATGTTCTATGACGCCGACTATCATAACATATAATCGAAATACTAGTCAAATAGCTGATTATAATAGACATCATTGACCAAGATTTTTACCTGCTCGAGCCTCATTCGCATATTGTAACAGATCTTGTAGTACTTTAGCTTTTTCTTTTTCGTCACCACGCGCTATGGACCCCGTATTAACCTAGCAACGTATATAGTATTTTAGTAATACAACCTCATACGTTCACAGGTAATTTTGACCCTTACTGTGATTGTAGACTCGGTTATTATCATAATGTCTGTATAAGGTATGATTTGAATCGTTGCTTTTGCCACATTTGAAGGAGGATTTTGAATGTACGTCAGTGGAAGCGGTGCTACACCTAAACATCAAAATAGGGAAAAACTTGTAAATAACTTCGCCTTCATTTTACATCTGCAACTAAGGGTAAACGGATTCAAATAATTCACCGCCACGTTGAATGGGAAAGAATTTTTGCTATGTGTTATAACACTCACCCTCCGCATTCTTATCTTGTAAAAGCATCACTTCAAATTTGGAATTCGGTATTTTTCTCAGAATTACGGCTACCGTGTTTCTATAAAACTGTTAACCAAAACTTTGGGTAACTGAGGATACGACAGCAAAAAACTCACTTTGTAGAGAAAATTTCAAGAAATATTTACGTTACTATTAACTATTATAACTCGACCAGTACTTAATACTTTATATGCATGCGGATTTTTTATAATAATTTCGAGGCATTTCCTACCCAGCCTAAGAATCTCCGTAGATTTGTCATAAAAGTCTTGTATATCCCTGTTGCAAATCATACAATCTAACTTCCTTATGTTAATTAAAGAGTTTTCGCCCTAAGTTATCAAAATAAAGTGGTCAGTTAATTTCAAAAAATATCAACTAGTTTTTCTGTATCCTCCCATCAAACTGTTCTTTCGACCAATACCTCTACAAGTAACTTTTGGTTTTGAAGCACATTTTTTTGATGCCAATCTGCAGAAAAACTATTTTTCATCATTTCCTCAGCCGATAAAGCCTCGGAGCGCAACATATTTAGAATCATGAGATAAGTCAAACGAAATTGAGACTCTAATTTTGTGGGTTTTCCGAGGATAACTCGCTGAACATCAACACTCTTATCCTAAGGGTGACAATTTGAATCAATAGTGAGTTTCGTAATAACAATTTAACTGTACGTTAGTTCATACCATAAGCTCTTGAGGGGGACAAGCTATAATAACAACACCAATCTCATCATGCTCATTACTACGACCAGCCCTCCCAGACATTTGTGTATATTCACCTAACATACACGAAACGTTAATAAAGTACTCAATTCTAATTAAACACCTTTGATATCAACAAACCAGACTTCAGTACGCGATAGTTCTCGCCGTCATTTTTTTTAAGACCCAAGAATACAACAGTTTTAGCAGGCATGTTTACACCCTAATTAAAAAAATATATTCACTCAGTCATAGAAATTGAGGCACGCGTCCGAGCAAGATTAATATATACCAACCATGGCAAATGTCTCGGTTGCAAATAAAACTTTAAGAAGTTTTTTCGCAAATAGCATTTCAACAAGCTGAGAACGGTATACAATAAACGGTTGGTCAAATAGTTATATTGTAGCACATGCAACTAATAATAAATATCTTCGTCTTCTGACCTCTTTTACAATCGGAAGGTATCCACTATGATGGACCCCTATGCCTTTATCCAATAATCTCTTCATACTGATGATTTGAGGCAATTCCCGATCCTCTATATCAACGTTTGACATGTTTGTAACGTATTTCATAACAACTAAGTTCGTGCAATATCACATTTCAAATACCGTTTAGGTTCTTCAACGCCTTGTCAACTCGTTTGCGTATTTTATTCTTAACATCATCGGAAACATTGAATAGATTTCTTTTAGCCAATTTGTCCGCATACTTATCACAATTCTTCCTTGAAAAAGAAAAGCAAATGGCTGGAAATAGATCTTTATCCTCGAGTAGTTTGAACATGCGATCAAACTCTTTCTGTTTTATCGAAAGCAAAAAACGCAGTTCAGTAACTTTTTGGAATTAGTGTACCAAGATGAAAGCGAGCTTACCGTGTTCTTTTGACTTGAACCACCACGAGTTGCCATTCGTGGATTTGACCGTCCTTGCTTAGTCTTGGCTCCCGTTTTGGCTCCCGTTCTGGCTCCTGTTTTGGCTCCAGTTTTGGCCCCCGCCTTTGCCTCTGTCTTTGGGTTGGTAATTGCTGAATAGCCGGACGACCATCTGAAGACATTAATCGAATCATTCATTTGCCCAAGATTCGCCTAACTCTTTTCGTGTATTCAGATTGTTGACACCAAACATACCCTTCGGATAGCCAATTCTTTTTTTTGTCTACAATTTTATGTAGTTCCCCGTCACCGTATAGAAAGTGTTCTAACGGCACCATACGTCTTTCAGTTTTGATGACATATATGTCTTTCTCTTTAGTTCGCCTAAAACCACGTTGGTGAGATAGACTTAGTGAAATTGAGTGATGGAGAGGAAACGGAAGACTATTTACCCAATCCAACCAGCCAACTCCATTTCATTCGATACGGTTGCCGACAGAAAAATGAGATTTACATGGGCCGGAAGCAAATGAATGACTTCTTCCCAAACCACACCACGCTTAGGATATAGAATGCTTGAGTCAAAAAAATTCATTTACAGCGATTTCAAAATGATGGCATAGACGTACATACCTCCTTGTTTTCCATGTAGTGAATTTCGTCAAATATGACAAATTCAACGTCTCTGATCAAATCCGCTTGTTTATACAGCATAGACTTCAGAATCTCTGTTGTTACAATGAGACATGATGCTTCGGGTTTAAGCTGAATATCGCCAGTCAATATACCAACATCATCTCCAAACTTGTCTTTTTTTCTGAAGTCTCGATATTTCTGGTTCGACAATGCTTTAATAGGTGATGTATAAATAGTACTGTAAACATGCAAGTGTGGGGAACAAGAAAGTTAAAAAACTAGTAAGCGCAAGTAAATTTGTCGTATACTCTTACACGTACTAGAATATCAAACCGTGTCATATGCTTCATCGCCAAAGCAATTGCATATTCCGCAACAACAGTCTTTCCAGACGACGTATGTGCGGCAACAAAGACTGAATCACCACGTTCCAAATAGTGAATAGCTTGTTTCTGGAAATCGTATAGCTTGTCGAACGTAAACTAAAATGCAAATTAAAATTAACATATGGAAAAGCACGAATAGAATGTTCTACGATATTCCGACTTGCCTTCATCGCTGGTTCAGGATATAATTCGTCAAAGTTAGGAATATCCTTGGGATTCACCTCATGCGCCCAATCACGTCCCTTAGAAAGTTTGGCGGTTTTTTTAATTTTTACGGCGCCTCCCACAAGCGGCTACAGATTTAAATGATGTTAGAGATAAAGTCAAGCAATCAAGGAAAATTCTGAGAATCACCAGACCTCGGATGGAAGCAATTGATCGATAGCATTTTCAAGTTTATCTTGCGAAAGCGACGGATTTTTTTGTTCTTCATCAAAAGTATCTGCACTTATTGCCTACAATAGAAAAAACGCGGGCCAAATTTAGGCGACATACGCACACAAGCATACGAATTTGATACAATGATTGCACCTCAAGCGGTTTCTTTGCGCTTCCTTCTTCCAGTTCTAACAGCTCAATAACATCATCCTCTTGCGTTAACATTTCTGTAATATTTAAGCTGGCGGCAACGCCTTTCGATAACGTCCTCCCGTGTTTCTCATCTAAATTAACCATACAGTATAAATCAAATCAATTTTTAAATACTCTCTTGAACTTATTACTAGAGTTACCCTCAAAAATCAATCCACGCTCAAAATCTGGAGGTACCGTCAACAGTTCATCTGTGAATTCAAATAATAATCAAAAGAGGTTACGGTACCAATAACTTGAACACGTAAATACACGTTCCAAGCGAAGATTTTTAGTGCCTGGCGCATACGTCGCGCCACTTGCTTTACCTTCTAGCAAGCTATCTTCCAATTCTCTCGAGACTGCCTCGACTGTATTGGCCTCAGGCGTTACATCATCAGGCTCCCCAAGCATGGACGCAACAGCGAATGGATCAGCCGATGAGACCTATTAATTCACACTTCTTTAGATAGCTCAATTCCTCAAAGCTCAGATTCATCGAGACAATGAAAGATGACATTCACCTCTTCATAACCGGTCACTTGTCCGGTAATAAGATCGCGCGTGATTTCCAAAGTTTTCCGCGCTTCGGTTGGCTCGATAGTGATCAATGAGAGATAATCGGAACCGCGTTCCCAATGCCTTTCCAAGAAAACGGAGAATAAGTCATAAGATAGGGGAATAAGAGACTTCCTTTCGAAAATAGTTTATACATACTGCTGACATTCGGACAACCAAGAAGTCGGGAACGTCGTACTCGGAGTCAAATATCGGTTTTCAATTTCTCGTTTTACATCTTCATGTGATCGAGGTTCCATTAGGCCTGGAGGTAACTAATGAAGAGAAGCAATACTTTTAATTGTCTCGCGCCTATGCATCGTTTTTTGCGGCATGTCAAGCGAATGCAATAATTTCCGAATAACCAGTGCTTACTTTGAGGACTAGGTCGTCCGTAGGTTCCTCTCGACCGAATTCGGGATTGTTTAGCAATTGGAATACAGAGTTCCATACTAATGTACTCGTATCTGATACATTATACGAATGAATTGTTTTATTCTTTTTTATGCCAAAACGATTCAAGCACTCACCGGCAGCTGTTGTCTCGTGATTCATAGTTGTGCAGATTCAATTACACATTCTCGCTGCTCACATTTAATTATAGAGTTTGTGGTTACACTGATCCATATCTGAAATCTGCTAATGAGACGTCATTTTCTAACAGTAGCGACAGCAAAACAGTGGCCAAAAATAGACCAATTAGCGAACTGCAAGATGTATAAGCAGCGTAGATTTAGTTCGTAGTGTTCATAAATATCGAAGACATTTGATACACTTGTATTTTATTGCTTATTTTTATCAATTTCCATTTACACTGAAACTAACGGAAAGGTTGATCGATCATTACTTTTTTCAACACGTTTATGGCCGGAGCAAAAATGTTCGTACCTCGTTCAAAGAGGAAACAAGTACTGTGTGGCCAAAATAAAGGGCTAGAATATATATATATATATCCAATAAAACGACTTCGAATAAACAAATTTTATTAATATTAAGATTTTTTATCAACGATCTCTAAAAACAAGAATGCAAGTTGTGATGGACTTTGAAAGCGCAATGACGTGAACCTTTATCATACTGACGAGTCTAACTCGGATCGTACACACTATTCCTAGATAACTAACTATTCTCGAGATCAAATACGATTCTCTACCAGAGGGATTAAGTCGGCAGTTATCGTTGAGCTCTTAATACGAAAGGTAACGCGATGAGAAAAGTAATAATTGGTTATCGTAATGTCACTTTCCGTTATACGGATTAATGCTTTAAGATTATTCAAAAAAAGAATTATAGTTTCAGAGTAAATGGACACCCGTTTATTGATAAAAATAAGGAATAAAATATAAATGTATCGAACGTCTTCGATACTATGAAATGTAGAACTACAATGTTTGTCAATTGTTGACATCAAACGTTGCACACGCAACTATTCTAAAGAATTTCGAGTTCTGTTGTACACTTTCATCAGGGAACGAAATTTTATAATTTTGTATGAGCAGCAGAATTTATTCCGTCTCAATTGATTCAATGTCCTTTTTTATCCGTGTTAAAAGAGACAGAGATAAGAAGTAGAGGGGAAAAAAAAGATATAAAGAGAAGATAAAAATGTTATTTTCGCTGACACAATTCACCTTCTAACAACTCGACTGTACAAAAGAAAATCTATAGAAAAATTTACAAGAAGAGGGGAGGAAAGAAAAAAAAAGAGGGATAACAGCTATAACCTCTAAAATTTTTTGCACGTTGATATATCACTTGCTCCGGGATAAGATTCCGAAATACATCCCATGATCCTGCCGTCACTTACATAATCACAAGTTGAATAGACAGGACTCCCCCATTTTGGTTCTAGATACATGAAATCTATTCTCTCCTATTCTATTCCACGCAATTCTCTATTATTCACCAAATACACCACGTCCGATTTTTTACCGACATATACACAACATATACAATCCATACATTCTATCCAAACCCGCTTTAACCTCGATTCTTTCCTCACACGTCCTGAACAGATTTATCATATATACCATTACAATGCCAACACACTAGGCCCCATCGTCTCTTTTATAACCTTCCATCATCACCTGAAAAAAAAAACAAAACCCTCCCCTCCCACATCCTCCCCCACTCCATCACATGCTTCTCCCAAATACTTCTCTGGCAGCGCCAGCAGGAATAGCCATTGGCTGTGGCACAACTGCAGCACCACCAGCCGTGGCTTTTTCCAATCCAGTAGTCATCCCAGTCAATGCACTCATCATAACGTTTGCAACCGCTGTACTCGCGTTATTGCTTCCATTGCCGCCACCCGATGATGTGAGCATTCCTGTAGCAGCGTCCCACAACGGATCTGGTTGAACAGTAGTCGAGGTGGGTGTAGAGGCTGAAGATGATAGGAGAGATGCTTTGGTCGGCGAGGTAGATGGTTCAACCGCGGTAGTCGACGACGCGGATGAATGGACTCCCACGCTGGACAAGGTGCTTGACGTGCTGGTCGTTGACGAGACTGAAGGATTGCTGGAATGATGGGCATACGTTGTATTCGACGTTGTTGTTGAATTCATGCTGCCTAGACCACTTCCAATGGTTCCTGGGTGATTATGATGATGGCTGTTGGAATGCTGTAACTGTTGCTGTTGTTGTTGCTGCTGCTGTTGCTGCTGCTGCTGTTGTTGTTGTTGCTGCTGCTGATGATGGTGATGATGCACCGCCATGGCATGAGTCAATTGATGGTGATGTGCGTGATGATATCCAGCCGGAAGCACTGGTCGATGATGGTGGTGGTGATGTGCCGCAGGATGGAAAAATACTGGACTATGGCTTATATGTAGACCAGCCATTGATGATGCCAGACTGGGGATAGCATCAGTTCCATAAGCCGTGTCCGTTCCATTTACACCTGATAATGCCAACCCATTTGTTCCCGGTGATACCAAAGACGAGAAAGAGCCAACTGCGGCGAGCGTCGCCGATACCGTGTTCGATTGACCGGCCGAGTTCTTTCCGATCGGACCAAAAGATGGAAATTGCGTTGATTGAACGGCCTGTAGCGTTTGATCTTGGTTAATTTGTGTTGCGGCTGTTGACTGCGAGGTTGTGGCGTGACTGTTGGCCACTACGCCAATTTGTTGGAACGAGGTAGCGTTGTTGTTGGCTGAATTTGGTGTGCCCAAGTGCGCAAGCGGATTGTACGTTGTCGGATAGGGTGGACTAGTTAACGATGGATTCGCCAACGGTGGCGAGAATGGACCCATCGTGGGAGCCATGAAGTGAGGATGATGCATTGGTGGAGGGTGACCCAAGTGGAAGTTATGAGGCGCCATCATTGGTGGATGTGGATGATGTCTATGATGAGGATGGACTGCAGGTGGCGCCATATGCGGATGGGGTGGATTATGCGGATGCATCTGAGGGAGGGTATATTTGTCGAAGTGGACACGTAATGCTCTGCCATTGTATTCGTAACCATTAAACATTCCTAACATAAAGAAAATGATAAGACGCAGATGAGACAAAGAATTGAACCAAGCCGATGGAATCAACCATCATAAATGGAAATTGGATCAATAACTCGAACAACTACACATGAATATCAGGCAAGCTCTTGTAGCACTAACCGACAGCATTCTGTGCATCCTCTGGAGTAGCAAATAGGACTGTTCCAAATCCACGACTTCTTCCATCGTAATTGGTGGAAACGTCAGCTCTAATTATGTTGCCTGCCGCACGGAAGAGATCTTTCAAATCTTGCCATTGGCAGTTGAACGGGAGCTAAAATTGATTAGCAATACAAACATTAACTCATAATAAGATTATGTAAACATTACAAATATGCTAATGACTTTACATTTCCAACAAACAGAAAACGTCCAGCGTAGTTATTGGTCGGTGGAGCTTGTATATTGCGATGCTGGGTGATCATCAGTATACATAGATATGCAGATGCATTATTAGTATTATACTAGTATAAATAACGACAGACTTTCACTATGATATTGTTACTCACAGGATAGTACATTGCCCCGGGTGCTAGCATAGGTGCCCCATGTGCATAATGACCGGCCGGATGAGTAATAAGCGACTCGGTCATGTGTCTGTTCATATCATATTGATTAGGCCCGTTATTTACGTTTTTAGCACTTTGTTCTACGTATCCACGGTCTTCTCTGACTTCCAGAACGCGTCCTTGCCAGTTATAACTATGGAACATGGCTACATAAATTATCAAAAATGTTTGGTCAACATACAAGTGCAAATATGCGTATTTTTTGGCAGGCTTGAAAGATAAAACGTTACCTATTGCCGATTTTGCATCGTCTACTGTTGCAAACAAGACAGTCCCATGACCTTTGGATCGATTATCGTATCCCATGGCAACATCGGCGCGTATCACGTTGCCAGCTTTACGAAACAAGTCTTTAAGATCTTGCCATCTTACACGGAATGGCAACTGTATAGTGGGAAATATCGTAGATTGTTAATAATATGCTGCTGACTGGCTATTGGGACTCAATCGTGATAGAAACTCACGTTTCCAACAAAAAGTTGTCTCTGTACGATGGATCCTACATCCTTCAGCCCGTTAGCATTGCTAACGTTAGTAATCGGGGAAGACGTTGTCGAGCTCACTGCCGTCGTCGTCCCATTAGTAACGGCAGGATCATCTTGATTACTGGAATTTCCAGTAATAGTGCCATTGATATTAGCGTTGACATTTGTCCCATTGATATTGATGTTATCATTTACAGAGACATATTCAATGGGGGATGAAGGCTGAGACGATGATGATGCCCCGTTGTTAATCTCAGTTGACGCAGCAGACAGGCCATTGGGAGTAGTACTCACGTCGTTGTCCTATTGATTTGTTTGGGATGGGGGAAACGACACATGAATGGCTTGATCGCTTGTTATAAAGGCAAGCAACGATTTCAAATTAACCTCATATAAAGACACATCGTTTTGACTGTTTGCATTTGCACTTTCTGTACGCGGTGGAGGGGGAGGATAATCCATTGCACTCCGATCCTATGAACGACAATGATAGGTACAGAGTGAGCAATATATATAATAATTACAATCACAAAACTGCAAGTTAAATTGGCAACTCTCATACTTCGCGAACTTCAAGTCGTCGACCATACCATTCATGTCCGTCAAATGCAGCTAACAAATAAAAGGACGCGCAGAGTAAGCAATATTGAAAAGGCGTGTAATCTTATATTTTAACACGTGATTCTGATAAGGGTAAGTCTCGTATTACTAACCAATGGCTTTCTGTGCATCCCCTACCGTGGCGAAAAGTACTATTCCGTGACCTTTCGACCTGCCGTCACGGCCTTGCATTATATTCGCTCTCTGAACATTTCCAGCTGTTCTAAATAGATCCTAAGATGGTAACATGTACGCATAAATAAACAAATGATTGACTAAGAGACATCAAACATATAACGATCGTATGTATTATTTACTTTGAGATCTTGCCACCCGACTGTAATTGCATAAGTGCAGTAATGCACGTAAGCATATAGTTAGTAAAGTTTAACGAACAGATAAAATAAATATGTAATTGGTGTGAGGCCAAACAAATCGCAATAACACGAATTACATCGACAATTACCTATGAATGGAAGCTGATATAAAAAGAACCGCGTTTATTGGGTAAAATATGACGTTAGGAATACAGATATTAGCATGTATGTGATTCCACAGTCTCTTTTCATCCCTCCTCCCCTCATTCACTCACTAGACCCCTTTGCTCTTTCTCGTTCCATTACCAGTTGGATGCCTCTAAATACATGACCAAATATAAACTACTCACATTTCCAACAAATAATTGCCTTCCTTTGATCGTCATTTATAAAAAAAGCGCTCGGGTCACTTGAATTCTTAAAAATTCTATTCGTCCTCTAAGATATTTAGACGCCACGTCGATAAAGCAGCAGATACACAACCAATACACCCAATTGATAAGGTGGAGGGGCGGAATGAAAATTTATGTCGCAAAAATTGGGTGAAAAGGGCACAATTACACACAAGACAGGGGTGGGGCGTGTGGTAACTCGACTAAAGACGCGACAAAACGTCGTAAAACTATGAACTATGAACTATGAACTAGCACGTAACACATACACGAAACCCTACAAAAGACGAATTGCGAGCTAGTTCTCTTGCTGTTGTGTGCCTATCCTATCTAGAATAATGAACCCCGGACGTAAAAAACAATAAACAAAAACTTGAAAAGGGATGTTTTTTGCCCTCGAACTCGGCCCCAGTCAAAAGAGAACCAAAAGTATATTATACAAGAAAGCGGTCGTCTGACCTATGTTTTGTAGAAGAAGAATGTACAAGAGAAGAGAAAGTGACGGGGAAGAATTGGGCAACCCAGAATGTCCCACGGAAAAATATCAACAAATAAAAGTAAACAGAAATCTCCTTATATCTATTCTAATTCACCAAACCAAACTGAGAAAATAAAATTTAACCTAAACTCCTCCGGAAACCACAGATTCGACGGTCGTTAGAGGGACGAAATAGAACAATGAAAGAGGTTGAAAGTCTCACTTTTTTTATAGGGAGCAAAAATAAGCCAAGACGCATATGCAGGAGGGCGAAAGGATATAACCCAAAAAAGAGTTGCTCGTTCGACCATCCAGAAATCACTGATATCGAATTTTTGAGAGCATTATATTTCCAGTTTCCCATTGTAAATTTGACAATTGACCTCAATTATCTACAATCTAATTCCATTCAATTAGACGTTCACTCACTCTCTCTTTCTCTCTTTTTCTCTTTTTACCTCTTGCGCATTTTATAGAGCACTCGAGAAAATTTTTTTTCACAGACACTTGGTTACCATTCATGGTATTGTCATGTACTTTTTCTTATCTGAAAATCTGCACAAAAACGGTGAATGGAAACGGGTCCGGTAGATAGGAATATGCAAGCCTTTAGGTAATAATATCGGTTGCATTGAGATGCAGAAAACATTAGAATTTGTGGAGAATGTCCCTTACAAACAAACGGAATAATAATTGGTTCGCTCTGTAGCTTCGTTCTTCGCTAAGAAAGAAATTGTCCATTTTATTTGCATTGACACGGGGGATTTGTTTCAAATGCACCAGATAGTTATCAGCCCCCCAGAACTTTAATCAAAACACACATAAACTGTCCCTCGGTACATTATTTGGGCGCTCGCCTTCAATTGATGACACATGTCACTTGATGAGAGAGTCCGCGTCGATCTGCTTAGGCCTTCGTCTCGTCATAATGCATCTCCTAGCCTAGCCACATTCTCTATTCCGTTTCTTCAACCTTTCCTCCATATCCCCACTCCATATCCATGTCCCCATATCTATATCCTTTCCATCTCATCCCTTTTCCTCAGCCTAATCACATGAATTACTGTTTTTCATCTTCGCAGCAAGAGCATTATTTTTGGGGAGAGGGCGGTGCGGGCGCAACTGACAAAACCAGAAAGGTGCTTGGATCCACCATCAAAAAAATCAGCATCAGCTAAGTAATTCATTGTTGGGGCACATGCTTGACGACAAGCGCCTTCAGCTTCTATTGTGTACCAACATGTGTGCAACGAAAAAGTCCCTTTACTTGTAAATTCTTACTACCCCTTTTCGTTTTACCCCTCTTTATCCTTTTTTTACCAGTTACTTCCCCTCTTCTTTGCGCCTTGTCCCTATTTTTATAAAATAGGCCGTTTAGACATAGAACTCGCACTTTCTAACGACGTCAAAAAAATTTTATGTATTCACAAGAAATTTTATAAAACAAAAAAAAAATTAAAAAAAAATTATCATAACAAAAAAAATAATAAAAAGATTATCTATCTTTACGGTTTGGGCTTTATTTCCCGTTATTGTTCTATCTACGCTTACATTTCTTCAATTTCATATCTACGCCCTCTTTTTGACGTTTGATGGCTCTTTGTCAGTAAAATTTGTCTAAAACATTCGAGACATATTAAATTATTGGAAAAACAAAAATAATATGCCAGCTGCAGAAACACTCGAAGGCTCTTTCTCAATGGACGAACAAGATTTACCCGCAGATGCAACAAGCTTTTTCCCTTTATTGTTACAAGCTCAAGACTTGATAAGCAAACTAGAAAGCAGAGTATTGGAGTTAGAAAACGACCTTGAGGTATATTCCATGAAAATTTACTCGAATTATTTATTTCCAGAGGAGCATGTAACATTGGAATTCGAGTTTGACATTGCCGAATGCTTGGGCATTTGTATGCTCTCTCTCTCTCACTCACTCTCAAATACGTTTTTATACTCACCTTTTTCCAATTTTTTATTTTCAGACTATAAATGAATCACATGAACAAGAACGTGATCAACTTTTACAAGAAATTGGTGAAAAGGACGAATATATTCATGGCTTGAAAACCAAAATGAGTCGTCTTGAATTCGGTGCACGAGAAGCCATCGTCGTTCTAGCAAGGACTGTCGATACGCTCAAAGCACAAGCCGTCGAAGATGACGATAGTGACAGCAAAGATGATGACGACGCTACCGCCGTCGAGTCTACCGATTTGGAAGGACAATTTATGGACAGTATAAAACTATGTTTGAATTATCTGAAAAACGCACAGAATAACAGCAAAGTCCCGCAATCTAACAAATCCAAGCGATATCAAGAAAAGATAATTCACCACGAAATCGAACGAAGAAAGACCTTGACCCCTCCCCCGACAATAGTCCGACGAGACTCCAAGGTTTCACGTCCCGATGTCGATGAAACGCCCAATGATGACGACAATGATCACAATACGTCGGACGAATCTCGTGACCAGGTTCATGGTCTTCGACCTAAATATAATAATAATAGCCGCGACAGTGATTCTGCATTGCGGAGTCGAGCACAGTCCTTCAGCAGTCATATCACATTGGATGACATTAGTTTAGACGGCTACGAACTGGACGGGGACGAGGACATTGCCAACTTTAATTTATCTGACGATGAAGACAACCATGAATATGTTTCACACGAAGCAAACAAACCACTTGATCGTCGAATAGATGTTCCGCCGCATCGACAAGATACGGCCGAGACAATCGCACCGTCCGCAGACGACAACGATCATAATGTTACTGGGTCTAACATATCGCACGCTATTCTCGAAGAGCCAGAAGAAATCGTTGACATTGACGATCTAGAAGAGATTGTTGCATCAGACGACGAACATGATCATGAAGAATCTGACGAAGACGAAAATGAGGTTACCAGACTGCCCCCGTTGGAGCCAATTCCAGACATTACAATCTCAAGCTCATGTCCCAGCTGCGCAACTTTGCTTGCACAACTCGACCAACATATCGAAGAACGAGCATATCTCAAGCGCGATCTTGCAGCAATGGCTACTGATCTTGCCGAGGAGCAGAACCTTCGCACTCAAATCCAATCCTCCAAGGAAAGTCTAGAACAAGAGATAGACGACTGGATTAATGCGATGTTCGAAAAAGTCAACCAGATGGTCTATGACGAAGCCAATGCGCGAGAAGAGTTGGAGATTCTAAACAGAGAATTCAAGGGTAGAATGGAGCCGTCCCTAAAGTCTTCACACTCGAGAGAAGATCGTCTACGAGAGATGAAGTTGCTGTTGGTACACTTTGATTCTACCAAACAACGGCAAGCGGCACCAACACCCTCTGGCGCAAATCTGTACTCGCGAAACTCTATCGCTAGAAGGAGTTTGATGACAGCATCACCTTTCAACAGTCCTCGTGCTAGTCGCACCTTTGGTCACATGTCACCTAGTCTATTTTCAGAAGAATTCATGTTCGCCAAGACCAAAAAAGTCTATGTCGACGGACTTTACTTTGAAGAGTTCCAAGAGTATGTCAAATCGTTTGGTCATAATCCTTCATCCAAGGATCTCAATCTCAACTCCCCGTTCATGAAACGCTGCTTGCAAGAAGACATACAGCCTTGTTTATTCGAAGGCAAGTCTGGCTGGAAATCGCCATTCTATAAACGTCGTCTCCTGGAAGCCATCATGAAGAACCAATGCGAAATACAACCCATCAACTATAGTGCAGCCAATTCGGTACCAAGTACGCCAACCACAAGCCAAAACTCTATGCCATCTCCGCGTACAGGCTTCCATGAACCGCCAGCGTCGCCAAAAGTCAAGTGCGGTCTATGCGGACAACTCCGTAGCTGTGAGTTCCGAATGCGACTCTCTGGACCAGATGCAGCCGTTCCTCCGAGTACGACCGCGTTGGCTTCCTCTTCCAATGCCGCATCCAGGTTTTCAATATCTGGACGGCCGACTTGGATGCCCTTGGATCGATTCTGTCGCGATAAAGTGGTCGCGGTTTGCGACTTTTATGCCTACATTTCTCACTTGCGCCAGGGACTGCTTGCTAATTCGCCTATTTGGGGAATGTACAAGCATTGTCTGAAAATCAGGAGAAAGATAGGATTGGCACGTGTTGGAAGCATCAGCATGCGTGAAGAAGATGAGGTTAACGACCTGGATAATTCCGAATTGGAGGGAATGGTAATGTTGGTTCATTAAAGATGAACAGGAAAAAAACAAAACCTCATTAATATATCACACGTCCGGGGTAAACAAAAACGGGAAAAAAGGAAAATCAAAATCAAAACCAAAACAACAACAACAACAAAACAACAACAACAAAACAACAAAACAACATCAGCAATAATAACAAAAACTAAGGGGATTTACAATACGTATTTGGACAATAGAAAATATCACAATATTTATAGACGTGGGGACTTTTACGATGAGCGGATTCTCTCTTCTTTTCAAAATGTCTGTGAACGATAAATTATAAAAGCTCTCAAAGCGAATAGTCTGGACTCTATAGATCAGCTGACAGTATACAATATATACTTCATTACGTCCCTCCAATTTGGTCATTAATGTTCGACGGGCAGTTTTTCACATACCTTTTTTAAATTTCGTTCATGATGAAACCGCTTGATTTCGAGCGAGTTTTTTTTTTAAAAAAATAGACCTTATTCTTTGATCTTTTCATATACATTCATGTATATTATACTCTCTGTAACCCTCCCTTCTCCCATCTCTTATCGAGTCGATGAAGACATTCCTTGTCATGACACTATATTTTAAATGTTCTTGTTCTTTCTGAATAATAACATTGTTTTATGTAAAGCAGATACTTGGTCTTTTGGTAGACCGTTTATGTTTATGCTTTCACAAGTCTAGATATGTCTTCTATGTTCAAGTTAGGATAAAGCATACCTCCGTTTTTTCTTGATGGAATAAAATGGGTATAGCGTACGATATTAACCAAAACATGTTATCCGCATAACCGTCTTTTTAACAAGTTTATTTTTGAGCCTGTTGTTTATACATGTAACACATTTAAATACGATTCTATTCACATGTGTAGTGAAAAAGAAAAACATTAACTATAGGAATGGAGTCTAAATCACTATATTATAGCTCTCAAATCGTCCAATGTACTCTTGAGGGTCTTCCTGAAAGCGACGCTATCCGTCTCGCTAAAAGTCTTCAAACTGCTTATGCTGAACTTGATATTGTCCTTCCCAATAGCATAGTTGATACCATAACCCTCAGGAACAATAGGGCCAAAGCCACCATAAAAATTATCACCTGGACTCATGTTAGATGTCGATAATTTAAAGTACATGGATTGGATATAGGACGGATCGGTAAATATGTGTGCTCGAGATTGTTCTTCATCGGATTGGATTTGTGTGCGCAATCCGAGAAGATGGCGGTCAACACCCTTGCCTAAAATCACATAATTGAAAAATTATTAAAAGAATAATCGATTCATAAAACCCCCCCTGCCAACCAGGTATTCTTTTGTTCTTACCTGAGCTCGCTGCTATCATGTATTCTAAATGGGTCTTGATGGCATTCGCAAACGACGCAAGCTTCTCCTCTTTCTGCTCAAGTCAAGCAATCGTCAACAGTCTTACTATGTCTCTCATTCACAATGACGAGTGTTTGTTACATTCATTACCTTGGCATCTTTATCATCAAAAATTTTGGTAAACGCAACGCTATCCACCGAGCATGATCTCACGGTTTCGGTTCGACCGTGCAGGAATGCTCTTGTTGAAGCCGTTTCGTAAGTGGGTACCGGTTCACCATGATGTCGATAATAAGCGAGTTGAAGAACCATCTGAACAAATGCATCTGGGCTGACCTTCACTACAGACGCACATTCATGTATTAGACACGTAGGAAGGAAGAAAAGGGTTTACGAAACACAACGACGTCGATCATATTTTCGCGTACTTTACCGCTCTTCAGCCAACTCGATCCAAATTCGGAATAGTGCAGTAGAACACTCTCAACATTATCAATGGTCTTTTGAATATTAACTTTTGCATTGCTGATGACGTTGATTGATTTGTCGTCAAGGACCCATTGAAGAGGTTGCGGCGGCGGAAGTGTAATTGCTGTTGACGCATTCGGAGGATCTTGTGGTTCTCTGATTGATAAAAACCATATTTGAAAAAAAAAAACACGTTGTCGGTTGCAGAAAAGATATATACACATATACGATACGTTCAGACAGTGAAATTCGCTTACGTTGTCAAAATATTATCGAAAATGTTACCAGGGATGACGGCATCTGCCGGCGAATGCTATATTCAATCGACTGTCATTTATCATTGTTCCGAATATTAACACAAATACACACAACCATGACTTACCTCTCCATTTACGCCTGCACGACCGTTGTTCTGTATGATGACCTGAAGTGACTTGTCAAACCAGCGGTTTCTGCCGTTGAACGCATGGAAAATATTATGATGCGAGATATCGATATCGGTATCCACAGAGTAATCATCAAGGCAAACAGCAAACAATGCAGTATCGATTTCGTTAAACGAAGCGCGGTTCTCAGGTGAAAGTTCCTCTAGAGCTTTTCTCGCCTAACAAGATAAAATTAAGTACTCAATGAGGGGTGAATACCGACGAAATACAGAAAGTGAAAGTACTTACCGCTGCCCAAGCATCTCGGTGCTCGCCTGTTAATAGACCAACGGGGGAATCTATTTGTTGTGCATTTTTCAACATAGTCGCCACGGTTCTCAATTGTCTGCGAGGTCAGATCAATTAGTATGTTGTGCATCACCGCTTTTAAAAACTCGATAAAAAATTCTTACATACTGTTCTATTGCTTTAATCGGGACTCGCGCGCCACCCTCTCCGAGAACTTGAACTTTAAATATATGATCTCTCATGAGAACAATGATATGCTTGGCTGTCGCTGGCCACGTTGTAATTATTCTATCTGCTGGCGAGTCGGCGATGCGAGTAGTGCCAAACTGGTTTTTGTATTGATTCATACATAGTGGACCCTGTCTTGTCGATTCGGGAGGGAGTAGTTCACTAAAATAATAACAAGAGTATCATACCGATTATTGAACACGTTACATAACATACTAGTCTTTGCGATAATTATGAGATTACATCACTGCGTACTTATTCACTGTATCACTAAAAGTCAATAAATTCGATATGATTCCTGCTGCTCTGGACAGTTGAAAATCAGATAATTCTCCACGGGGTGGAGGAGTTTTGAGGATACCGCCTGCTGGATCACGAAATTCACACCACCAGTTGACATTTATAAGAGTAGGCTCTCGCCACTCGAGATATGCTTTGGCCAACCAGATTTTTTCTAACCAATTATTCTAAAATTCAAGAAATCGAATGAATATTAGCCGAGTCTAAAATAAAAATGCTCAAGTTTATCCGAAAAGAATAATTACCGGTTCTCGCTTATCCAGCTCGTGTAATCTCTGCTGAAGAATCTCTCCTAGTCCATTTGGACTAACAAATTCGTCGACTGCTTTGGCAGCTCGAACATAATCCTCAGAACTCAGAATTGGTAATAAACTTTTCTTATATCGCTCGGCAGTCTCCTGAAGTGTGGGAATGGGAAGTCGAGGAATACGACTCTGGTTTGAAAATGTAGCTGGCGTTTTACTGGGGTCGCGAGCGATCTGCGAGTACAAACGATTTTGTAGAGCGTATGGACGGCGATATTGGCTAACAGAGGCAATTTTTTAACAACAGGGAATAATTGTAAATGGGGTAATGGCGTGATATCGGCTCACCGTGTGCCGGATGCTTGTCTAAGGCTGGAGATAATGGCCCGCTTGACAGGGAATTCACCGAGAAGGTACATGGGTTTCCTTTAAATTTTTTTTGGTTAGTAGGTATTAAAAGATTGACAGGGAAGTTAATTTGCGCGAACTTTTTATTAGTAATATTAATTACCATTACTGGGAAATTTTGTCACACCTTCCAGTCAAGGATAGTCCTCTGAAGATCTCTCAATGATTGCCATGCGAAAATAAGCTCAGCTTTTGCCAAAACCCCTCGTTTTGGATTTTCGCAAATGAGCGGATCGATCGTTCCTGCGAGTAAATTTAGGGTTGCAATAGTTCATATAACTTAGCAATGAGGAGTAAATAAAGAGAAACGAATTCCCAGTTATTCTAAGCAATTGGAAAAGTAAGACTGAAGACTTTTGATTGTAATTCCGTTCTCACTTGTAGAGATAACGTTAGGTAAAAAATAAACGTTAACCTATTTTGATTACTATTGGTAATGTTGTTAATTCTCCAAACCTTGACAAAATTCTAAAAGAAAACAACAATAACTATGCAATTCTACTTCCTAAGCGTAAGTAATTTATTAGACATAAATGCATGGCTTTGGAAATATGTTTGTGAAAATGAAAGCCAAATTGTGAACGAGCAGTATTACAGTATTTACGTACACGTATTTACTGTACAAATTTAAAAAAAGGGCCAATTTTTGATACGTTACATATATCCCATAAACGTAACCAATGCAGGGTCCCGAATTTCTTGCACAAACCCGAGCATGTTTTAGTTTTGTGATTAGTAATGTCAATTAGTAATTTTAATTTGCAAAATCGCTCATACCATACTGTACCTTTAGAGACACGATAATGCTCTTACCTTGCATTGAATACATTTATCACGACAACTGTCTCGCTCCTCCGAACTTGAGCAAAACACTAAAATACATGTATTTAATTTCACAACCACATGCACTTTGCAATTTACCCCGATGTTTGTACAACAAAACAACATACACACAACCGATTTCTAGACCAATTCCAAATCAGAAATGTAGTCTCGAGTCGTAACTAATAATAGCAAAGCGCAACCTTCTATTTTTAATATTGAACTTGGCCAACAAACATTCATTTCTCCCTCGCATCAAACAGCGCGCGATAAAGCGTGCGATTTAACCATAGTCGTTGGAATTTCTGCGTTTCCAAATCAGGTCTATTATACCTCAGAATGCGCGTATTCTAATTTCGAACGTTTCTCACTCGTTAAATTGAACATACCGCAACCAAAGCTAGGGAGATTGCTCACTGTGATGTATTTTATGTTCCGCCAAGCTATTTGGTGGCTGATAATTACAGGAATTATTGTCCACATGAACCATGTACCCCTAACAATAAGACGTACGCCTGAGAAACGGCACGTCGAGAAAAGAGCTGATTGTGTAAGGAGTTGACGGTGGAAAATTCTAACAGCGATATTAATCCAATCTCATTGCATTTGCTTTATTGCTGTTAGTCTTACTTTAAGTAACTTTTATTAAACCATGATACCAGCCAGTTAATTACCCAAAATTATACTCATAGAAACAATATTAATATTAATATATGACGGTTCAGGCCAGATTTAGAAACGCTAAAGATCGATTATCATACCTAACGTCATATAAAGTGTAGATGCACAAAAATGCAGGTTTCGGTGTTTTGAAAATCCATTGCGCAATGGACAAAAACAGCTAGTTGAAACTTGCGCGATTGGCTAGTTTGAGTCAAATGACTCGGCTATTAACTTGTATCACACATTAACAAAATATTATCATTGATGACTGATGACTGATGAATAGAAATGATATTAAATAACCGAAATGTTCTTGTTTGATTGTAATTTGGGTAAGCGGCTATAATAAGTCGTCGTAAAGTAATGTAAAATTAATTTGATTAATTTATCTCAACTGTACAGTTGTCCCGTTCAAAATTTTAATGATAAAAAATCTTGGATCGGCAAAGATTGAAAAAGACTTGGCATGCATTGCGATCACTATTGTGAAATTTTAAAGACAAATTGGGAAATGCTCTCCTATCGCTATATGCAAGAGTTTTGTCAATACTGACAATGTTGGCTGCTAGTACTTGTTGCAATATTTATAACAAATATACGATAAATCGGAAGAATGACAATGCGAGGGCTATCTATAACTGCTATTGCTATTATTACCACCACAATCATGTGACTACGTTTTGAAACTTTTCCGTTTCACAACCAAAACACAAAGTCTTGGCATCTGAATGAGTGGGAAAGCGACGGTTAGACTCTAACGATAGATGATACCACTTTAGTAAGCAGGGCTTTGTTGACAATTCTAATCCTTTATTACCTTTTGTGTCAAAACGTTTCATTATGTCCACTAGTCAGGATGTAAATGTGTGTAACGTTCTAAATATTCCCCATTTGTGCCCATCTATTTATACATCCCCCAATTAGAATGTCAAGCCACCACGGAAAAGGGTCTACAAATATCTCCTTGAATTGCGGTTGACTAATTCAGTTCAATTCTTTTTTGTCCCTCAGACCCCTTCACTTTCATTCAGTAATATAATAAGACTGTTGAACAGTTTACAACCCACCACACTCTTTTGGTATCCATCACTGGGAAAGGCATACAATTTCCGTATACTCATTATATATATAATATATACATAGATATACACATAGATATTATATATAGTGAGAATACGATCCTGTGAGCAAGATTTCCCTCATCACTCTTACATACTTCCGTCAACAGCACCCCAAACTCGTAAACAACATACACACGGCAACCAATTCGAACACATTTTATACATATACAAAAAACTTATAGAATATTTATATATTTTGATATAATATACAAATTTCGATCCAACCAATAAACCAAGTCAACCATGCGATCATTCTATATAATCACAGCCTTGACAGCCCTTGTCTTCACATCGCCCGCCCTGTCCCAGCAATGCAACGGCCATAGCGAACTCTGCTCGAGACCCTATCATCAAGTCGCATTCCCCGGCACTCACAATTCTTTTTCGGCCGTTAAAAATAATCCCGCAGCGAATCAATTCTTTCCTGTCGCCACTCAGCTCAATGACGGTATCCGCTCATTCATGCTTGACGGACACAAGCTCGGCTCTAACATTGAATTATGCCATACCTCGTGTTTTTTAGAGAATGCGGGTACCGCCGTAGATACGTTAAAAATAATCGCTGACTTTATGAAGGCGAATCCCAATGAGGTGATAACAATTATTTGGGAGAATTATGATAAGATAGATGTTAACTCATACGCGGCAGCCTACCAGCAAGCAGGATTGGACAAGTTTGCATATACACAACCATCAGGGCAGCAACAGTGGCCGACTCTGTCCGAATTAATTAGCAAGGGAACGACATTGATTAATTTCATTGATAATGGTGCTTCGCCCAGTGTGCCATGGTAAGTAATTAGAAAAGAAGGGAAAAACGTACTTTTGTTTTGCAAGGAACTAATCATATGATAATCATGAGCAATGTATTCAAATCTGTTTAGTCGATAAAGCTTTTTTTTTTCACTTCCAAGACAAGAGACTTGTCACAATTAAACTTTTGCTAACAAATTAATCCATTGTCCTTTTTCTTCATGCAGGCTTCACGATGAGTTTACTTACGTGATCGACACGCCCTTCTCCAACAACGACCCGAACAATTGGCAGTGTGTCGTTGACCGCCCACCAGGCGCTTCACCCAGTAGTATAAGCCTGTATAACGTCAATCACTTCCTGTACGGCAATTTGGGCGAGTCGAATATCGAAACTCCTCAACCAGGTTCCGCAAGCTCGACAAACGGACCCAATCTCGAGCAGCATGCACAGCAATGTACAAAGGCGTTCGGACGGATTCCCAACTTTGTATCAGTTGATTTCTACGACCAGGGCAGTAACAATGTTAACATCTTTTCGGTCGTCGCAGAATTGAATAATGTAACATATACGCCCAAGCCGTTGGGTGACACGTCATATAATGGCAACCAAACAACGACTGCGAATGCCTCATTACAGAAAGGTTCCGGATTATATATGATGACTAGTGGATTGCTCTTTGTAGCGCTTGTGATGGTTGGATTGTAAGGATTGGGATTTAAAAGGTTGGGATTGGTAAAGGGTTAATAAATCGTGGTTTATGTGATATATTATTGATTACTGCAAAATAATAAAAAAAGAGACAATACTACATGCTAACATGCTAACTATGTATGGTGGATATTCCATAAATGTTTGATGATTATCATATTAATATAGAACAAAAAGTGAACATGTGACAACCGCTCATGCATTACCTATGAGACAAAATTGTGTCTTATGGTTTTAAATAAACCTCGCCAGGAATATTTCGACAAAGGCTTATTAAGTTACTAATCTTTAGATTACTTCTTTATTCAATTTCTAGTTTCCTAACCTCAATTTGAGCAATATGGGACTATTCCGTCTCAAAAATCATTCCTGCTTTTGTTTTTTACTACGTTTTCCATAGTGCTTTCTCAGTTGTGGTCTAATTCGTCTTGCAAAGTTACTATTCGTGGTTCATACAAGACACTCTTTCACTAGGCGAGAGTGAGAATTCTTTTTCTTCTACAAGAAAACGTTATGCAATAAATAATAAATATAAACACAAGCAAAGAAAGCGTCGAAGTACGAGATCATGACTGTAGACTAAGTAAGACTCGCAGCTTTTGTTTAACTTGTAAACCACTATTATTAAGAACAATCTTAATTTCGTCATCCTTGTTTACATTATCCAGCACTTGTTGTCCTGACGCTTCAACTGCCCTAGTTATCGCGCATGGGGCAATTTCTGTGTTACACACCGGGTCGACTCTTTGACACATCGAGATCGCCCGTTATAGGGGTATGCCGATTATATTTTTATATTCATTTTAAGAAGTAGCAAGACAACGGAAATTTTATTTGCACGCACGGGTATGCAAAAACCTCTTGTGTGAAATGATTATTTGATCCACGTGACAAAAAATTCGGTAATTATTGTAGAATAGTATACGATCAGATCAAAACTTTAGGCCTCAACCGTTACTAATAAAGCGTTAAGTGGTGCCATAACTTGCGGAACGCATCAAATTTAATGTGCTATCGTTTTCGAGACCGGCAATAAAATCACGATAGACCGACTTGTAACTTGTTTCAGCTGGCAAAAGTGTAAGCGATTGAGTAGTTCGGTTGACATTTCTACCAGGACTTGGCAACCCATGAATTTCAGCATAGTTTTCGAGAAAATTCTTCACGGCGGTAGCAACAGTTATATCGATGGTTATTTTAGTTTTCCATTGCGGCATTTTTTTACATTACTATCTTCATTTTTAATTAGGCCAGTTTTTTGCGTCGGGTTTGGTTCTAACCTGGTCTTTGACCCTCTTCGCTCGAAACAGCTGTTCCACCTGCTGGAAAGGAACTAGTCTTTATTAAAGGAGCTAATACCTTCCATATTGATTCACCCCTCTCGTTAACGGAACAGGCTTTCGACAGAAGAGCTTTAAGTGCCCTCCACGTGATTTGTAGGTATTATACCACTCGTCGTCAGATGATTTCGGATGTTTTCAAATAATTGCGGCCAATACCAAGCATATTGAGGTAGGTTTTTTGACAAATTGGAGTGTTATGATTTCAGCAATAGACAGTTCTCTTGTTAACGCGAGCCTTGTTCTTGAGACGTCGGCTAGTACTTGCTCCTCCATCCATGGATATGAGTTGGGCCATTAAAAAAATGTCTTGTTCAAGTTTGGTAAGCGCTTGAAAGTCTTCTCGCAATTCAGTAAATTTTTCTTTGGGCAGCCTAGTCAAGCAACTGCAACCACATCTCACTTCCAACAAATGAAGAGCTTTCTCATATCTACCATAAATATATTTTTTTTATATATATTTACGCACAGTTTGTCTGATTTTGTAAAATTTTGATGATATGGCGCATTTATTATGTATTATACGCAGGGGTATCCATATATATAAAATTGAAATATATGAAACTTATCTACCGTATTCTTCCGAAAATAAGCAACACCCGAAAATAAGCAACACCGAAAATAAGCAACACTTCAGAATAAATAATTTACCTTTATAAATGTATTCAATTACAGTCATCCCCCCCTATAAGCACACTCCTATATAGTCACAACCCCCTTATAGTCACATTTTTCTTGGAACCA